TCCTTCGGAAGAGAGAAGATGGTCCTCGGGGTTGGACAGATATGTTCTTAAAGTATCTGAGATACGTATTTAAATATGAATTTTATTTAAATACCAAATAATCAAGCTTTGAATTTTCTAATTAATTATTTAATTTAAATGTATCTTGTATTTAAATGTATTTATGTAATTACATACATATATAATATAATATATGTTTATTTTAATTATTATTATTTTATAAAGTTTAAAGTTCAAATAAATAATAACTTATCTTTGAAAGTGTTGAAATTAATTTTGATATAATATTATTTCATATAATTCTACCGTCAGACTATATTATACTTGATATTAAAGTAATTACAATAAAATTATCTACTATTACTGTTATTTGAAAAATGTCATTTTTTAAATAATAGTAGATAATCTTTTTGTAATTGCTTTAATATTAAGTATACAGTATGTAATAAAAAATTTTAAAAATAATTGTATTTAAAAGTATTTATAAATGTATTTAAATACAATTGGTATTTATAAATATATTTCAAAATCCAAGTATTTCAATAATATTTCAATGTATGTCAGTATCTTGCATCTTGCATTTAAATATTTTGTTTTGAAGTATCTGCCCAACCTTGATGGTCCTCGATCGCTCTCATCTGGTCTTCCCTCCACCATAAGCGGTTCTTTTTTTTATTTATTCGTCACACGAAAGTGTACCGACGCGCGAGCGATGACGTATTCGGGAATTCACGACTCGACGCGCCGCTACAATAGAAAGTTAAAGGCTGAGACCCGGAAGGAAGACTCCGATGACGCGACGAGTGACCCACATCCGGTGAATCAACCGCGAGAGAGTAAAACGGTTTATGTGCCGCGGAACATTCCGTACAGGATCGAGTAACTTGGGTACTTGGTACTCTGAGCTATCAGTGATGGGTAAGATACATTTAAAGTGTATCTAGATACAAATACACAAATTAAAATGTATATAGATACAGATACTGAGATACTTGAAAAGTATGTCAAATACATGTCAGATACTTTTAAATTATATTTTATCATAATAATGGTAATATGCATAAAATGTACTTCATAAATTTTTTATCTTTATTAATATTTTTTGTATACTACGTTATTCGTTAGTCTTAACACATAAAAAATATCTTAAAGATATATAAATTTGACCACCAAAGCTAAATAATCGCCCAATCGGTGTTGATGACGATATAACTTTCTACTCGTCTTGATCTTTTAAAAATTTGAAGAATTATGTGAAAATGCATCTGAGAAAAGCAGTTCAGATACTATGTTTTGTATCTAGATACAGAAACTTCAATTCAAATGTATCTCAGATACACAAAATGTATCTAGATACTACCACTGAGAGCTATATATGAAGTCGCGCGCACGTTTTATGTGTGACATCGATTTAAAAATGATCGAAAAAACAGTTTCCGAACGTGTAATGAAGTTTGGAAGGGGTAATGTTTGTCGGCGCTCGATTGCACGCTTGATTTGACATCGATTATCCCCCCATGCGGCGATTAATATTCGAGATTAATTATATAGATTATTCGAGAGACCTATTATATCATTTCGATATTTCAATCTCTCAATTATTGGCGTTGTATAATTTATTTGATAATATCATATAATTTATTTAATCATATCGCATGTAATTTATTCAAAACACATGCAAATATGGTAAAGTTATTTTTTTTTTTTTACATCGAGTGATTAAAGTTTCGATCGAAACTCGTTCTACTTTTCGTCGCTAAAAGACTCTGCCACAGCTAATAGATGACTAAAAAACTCAATTCAACAACGCGTTTAACTTAAACTTTTAGAAGCTTGATAAAATTAATCTCTCAAAGTTAGAGAAAATTAATATTCATTTTCTCGGTTTTGTAAAAAGCAAAGTCGACTATTGCATTTAACTCTTCAATTAGAACGCAATCGTTATATTCTACAAACTGAAACACACAGTTTATCGTATTTTAATCGGATTTACCTTTCGACCTCGTGTGCACCATTTCTATATTTACTCTCACTCATGGTCGATTAACGGGCTTAAATAAAGCTGTATGCCTTAAATAAAGCGCGGACGAATACTTGTCAGTGAAAACTTTTCCGCGTCAAATCGAGTTAATGTTACTTTGTTCGGGTCAGCGACTCGAGCAAACGTGATATTTTTACAGAGATAAGATAGAAATAATTATTTAGCTCTTTATTCTTATCTTATAAATATTATTTCGCGCAATTGCAAAAAGTATTTATGTATGTTATACAGAGTGTCTCGTACTCAGTGAATCATTTACAGTAGATTCTTGATGATTTTTCCTCAGCGAAATGTCGAGGCATCAATAATTTTTCCAAATTATAAGTGATTTAAAATAAAAGATGGTATTGGAAGAATTTTATACAACTTTCTGTGATATTTACCACAAATTAAATAATATTAAATATGTACCAGAAATAAAAAATATTAAATATGTAGATACATACATAGTAAAATTTATCGAACATATTTTATTGTGGATATTAATATTTTTTATCGTGGTAAAAATTAATCAGAGAAACTCTAATAAATTCTTCCAATACCATATTGTCCCGCTACGGTTTTCTGAATAAATTCTGAAAATTCTCTCGGTGCAAAATCACATTTTTCAATTAATTTCAGTTTAGAGTTTACTTTGATAAAATTTTAATTTAAGATTTATTGTTAGTTACAAATATACACGATGATAAAAAATAGAACATGTAAAAAAGATTTTGCTGAGGAGAAATCGTCCCCAAATGACGTCGGGAATCTATAATTATGAATGATTCAGTACGGGGCATTCTGTATAGATTGAACTAATACACTGATAGAGATAGAATCGAACGCTATCTCTCGGGTTCACAGGCCTCTATAGGGAACGTTCTCTCTGTGGAGGGAACGTTGGGGTTTCCGAGATAGAGAAATCTGTCAGAACCGCATCGCGTTACGTAGAAATCACGTCTCGGCCGACAGCCGACAACAGGCTAATGCCAATAAGCGTAATCTCGACGCGATTGCTCTGTGTAATTACCATCATGCACCGACGTGGCATGACTGCTCTACCATCCTTGCATTATTCATGTCGTCAGGCTACACCCTAAATTCGAAGGTTTCCCAAAGGATGTAACCGCCGCATCGCGCCGGTAATTTCACTGTCGAACAGCTTCGCCTGCCATCGCCGTATGAATCACGTAGTAAGGTGCATTAAAGAGGGAGGATCCATGGGGAGGTGAGAGAGAGAGAGAGAGAGAGAGAGAGAGATTTTAGGGCTTCACTTTAAACGATCTATAACCCGCGACAAAATTCCAAATATAATTTTGTATAATTCTATTCTGTCTCGTGTAATACGAAAGAAATGTTGAATAAGTAAAACAAACATTTATGTACATATTTAAAATTACAAATCTAGATTTCTGTTCTCTTGAATTTTTCACTCGCAAGTGGATTACCGAAAATGAAACACTTTAGATGTGTCAAAATTAAATGTTTGAATGATTTATTTGCCAAAGATATATTTTATCTGACACCATTAATTGTATAAATAATATATATATTTTTTTTTATAAAGATTTGAATCTTATTTCTTAAAATAATTATTTCTTAATCTCGTGAAAATATTCTTACCAGTGACATATATTTTTTTAAATCGATGCAATTATAATTTGTATCAGTCAATATGCTCTGGCAGTGCAACTGCATTAATTCCAGTAATACCATCGATAAAATGCCGATCATTATAATATAATCGTGTCTTCTTTTCCTTTTCTTTTTTTTTATTCCTAATTACGAACTCTCCCGAGAAACATCTCGAGATGATTACAATGGGCGCGGCCGGATAATCGCGGCGATGAAAAGAAGCGGGTACATCGCAGCCGAGCTTGTAACGAGACGTAAAAAGAATAAGAAGAAGAAGGGTAGGGAAGAAGAGAAAGAACGAAAACGGTCTGACAATTCGTAGATCTAAAGTCGACTTTGGCTCATGAATAACGTAGGAGAGAGCGCATTAGAATATTCCCCGCGGCATAACGAATAAGGAGACATAACTCCCATTGTTATTCCTGCGGCTTAAAGGAGAGAGCACTGACTCGCGATGAGACTGCGAAAGAAGCGACTTTACACTCGATACTAGCAGGGAGGAGGACAGGGAAAATGGTGCACTCGGGAAGAAAAGTCGACGGACTTTATCTTTATCCGGCCGGTTTATTAAGGACCCTGGCGTCCTATGTCAAAGCACGAGTTCCTGATCCTTCATAATAATGCGGGTCTTATGCCTATCTACACCTAAGGATAATCCTACTTGTAACTTATTTCAGGGAGTACTGTAAACGATCAAAACCCTACTGAAGTTGGTTTTTAATCGGGCCAATGAAAAAAATTTACGATTGAAAACCAACTTCAGAATGGTTTTTGATCATTTATACTACTCCCTGGAATAAGCAACAAGTAGGATTATAGGTGTAGCTAGGGTATAATGAATGACGATAAACGATTAAAAACCAACTTCAGTATGGTTTTTGATCCTTTAGACTATACTCACTGGAAAGCCACAAGTTGGATTATCCTTAAGTGTAGATAGGGCATAATGAATGACGATAAACGATCAAAAACCATACTGAAGATGATTTTCAATCGTTCCAATCGAACAAATTTACGATTAAAAACCAACTTTAGGATGATTTTTGATAGACTATACTCACTAGTTGGATTACTTAAGTGTAGATAGGCATAATGAATGACGATAAACGATGAAAAACCATACTGAAGATGATTTTCAATCGTTCCAATCGAACAAATTTACGATTAAAAACCAACTTCAGGATGATTTTTGATCGTTTATACTACTTTCTGAAATATACGCCACAAGTAGGATTATTCTTAAGTGTAAATGGGGCATTAGCCTCGTTCGTAATTAGCGTTCTCATCGATTATTCGCGACCCTCGTTTTAATCAGGACTTTGCGCAACTTGTGTTGTTGCAGATATAGCGGCTGGCTCAAAATTACTTGATGCGCTGAGGATGCGCCGTGATTTCTGCAACGGTGGGCTTGCCTGCGCCGTTGTGTGGGTGTCGTCGACCTGCCTTCTGCTCGTTCTCTCCCTGTCGTCATCGATCACCGTAGCAGGTACGTTCTCTGTCTTCTAGCTTTTTTTCTCTTTTTTCGGCGTTTCATTATTTACCGCTCGGCGGTTTGACGTCTCCGCGAGCGCTAACGGACGGATCTCTAATATCATATTTAAAAAAGAACTCGAGTAATCTTCTCCGATGCAGTGTCTTACGAGAATGGATCGACATTTCCATTTCTTTGACTCTGTTTGAGAAGAAGGAAGGTTTACGGATAAAAAGTAATAGTTTGATAATCCCGGAAAATTTCTTTTTCCTTTTCGATTTTGTCAAGATGTAATCCTGTCATCATTATTATTTTTTTCCCGATCATGATTATGTGAATTACTGTGCTGCGATAAAATTTTGATTGCAAGTTGGAGTTATTGTTTTACGTATTTGGAAGTGTCATAACACAAAATCAATAACGAAAGACTCGAAAGAGCGAAACATCAGTAAAATTATATCAAACTCTAATTTTTTATGGACATTCTCTTTCCCGGTTTAATCAGACGCATTTGGACAGCACGTAATATATTCCTTCCTGTTTAAGCCAGCAATTTATGTCGCGCCAGCTATTTTTTTTTTTTAGGTTTAGCGATTTCATTATTTTTTGCCCAGCACACCATTCATATATCATTCTCGGCGTCGTGCAAAATCTCTGCAAAACCGGAGTCAGCAGCGGGTTGTCTTGCATGCATATTCGACACCGACTATGATAGAAGGCCAGGTCGAAGATTCGAAAAAGCGCGGCGAGAAAGAAAAACTCCCTCTTTCTCGAACGTGCATTTGCATGTAATGCGCCATGGATAGACGTGAGCGGATTTCGGAAGCCGAACAGTCGTGATTCGTACTTGATGTTGCGCGAACCAACCAACCAACCGCTCCGTCGCGCACACATTCGCGACATATGTTCCTCTAGGGGAATTGGCGGATTCTGTTTGAGATCGCTCTCGACGGCAAATTTCCTCTCTCCTTCTCTATCCTCGCAATTCCTCCCGCTTACCGAAGCGAACCGGAAAACGACCCTTCATAAATGACCGTTTGCTCGAAAAGCATTGGATGCAAAATTAGATATTGCGCGAGAGAGATAGGAGCGACGATCTCTGCGGTCTGTACTCACGTTTCACGTTGAATATATTATATATCTATATATCATTCCTATTCTGAGTTTAATCCCTTTGAACTTGATCCCGTACAACCCCTTTACGCGCAAGATGCGTAACTATCTCTCTTTTCTATAATATAAAGACGAGGGTGTTTCACGGAGTAACAGCAATTAAATATTTGGAGATGTGTAATTCGATTAGAGATACAAATGATATGTCGTTTTTCTACATAATTATTCTACTTTTCATCCTTCAGCCAATAATGCACCGCTTTTTTCCGCTTCGTCATCATTTCTAAATTTTCGTCCTGTCAAAGCGTTCTTCAGAGGTTCAAACACGCGTATAATAATCAGAGGGAGCAAGGTCAGGGCTATATGGGAGATGCTGGAAGATCAAAGACATGGTACATTCTTGGCACGATCAAAAATTTTTCTCTAATGGAATAATAAAATTGGTGCATAACGAGGTAAGAAATATATCGAAAAGGAGAATGATTAAAAAATGACATATCATTTGTGTCTTTAATTGAATTACGTATCTCAACAAATTTAATTTGCTATTACTTTCTCAAACACCCTCGTAATAATTAACCTGGGATTTTTTATTTATGTATAGATTTGTGTTTGCGAGATAAACAATTAAATGCCCGAAACGAGATGAAATTAATTTTCCATTATGTCGTTTACGTTGTGAAATGGGGAGGATATACCAGTGCAGAGAGTCTAGGTGCGATATGCGAAATTATACCGTATATGAATTGCGCGTAAACGCATCGTCGAGTAATCGATAACGAATTGAACTCGACTCTGTTCATTGATCTATATCGCGCGATCGGCGAATTAAATAGCATACCTAACGAGACGGTAATCGCGGAACGAAATTGCTGGTTAGGCTCCTCTGGTCCCCTTCTGCATTCCGGCAATCGATCCCATCCCGATGTGTTACAGCAGGATGCAGGCCTTTTCAAATATCGAGGGCAGCCCGATTTGCATGCCACAGGCAATAACAAATTGAATTTCTCCCGCGCCGTAAAGGCATCCCCTGGTCTTTCCTTCTCGTTCTTCCTCGAATGTCTCATCTCGCTTATCTTTTTCCTTCTCCCTTTTCATATCTTTTTTTTCTCTTTTTTTTTCAACAGAGAGGAATGAGAGAATCGAAGGTATATGTGTATACAGAGGAAAAAACACTGCCTCGACTGCGAGGCACATAATAATTCCATTTATACACTTTTCGAAATTTCGAAAGAATAAGAGACAAAACGCAATTCGCGAAAGTGCAGGATTCAATTATACGCGCTTGTGCGAATCGCAGGTAAAAGCTTTGGAGAGGAACCAAAATAAAGAAATTCTCCAACGCGACAGTTTCGGATGACATCTCGGAGTCTCTCGCCTATTTTTTGCGACTATATTTTCACTCGACTTGATTTTTTCTTTATTCTTACGAAACGTTGTTCCAAGCCACGCTTCATTGTGAAAAGGCGCGGCAAACGACCGCTTGACACGCGACCTGCACGTATACATATACGTATATAGAGGAAAAGGTACACCTCGTGACTGCGTATATGCATACCTATCTGCCTCGGGGACTTTCGCCAGGTGCGCCTAAACGGAATATCCGCTCGAGCGGATTTTCTTTTCGTGTACCCGGACCCGGGCACTTTCTTCATTTGTCATGCGAACGTGCATCACCGCGTATACTCTCTGCGTATACATTAATATGTGCCACGTAACGGAACGCGGTAAACTCCCACCGAGTCGGGCATAAATTAACGCAAGAGCTTAATTCTCGCAGTTGAAACTTATAAATTTGCATGTTTCGTTGCGTTGTATATTCCGCACACATTTTTATTTCGATATCTTATACATATTTATTTATCTATTTATATAGTATACACGGACGTCCGCTGAGGGAGCATTTGTCCCCTTGGAATCGATCGAAAAATTAAGCATTCGCTTTCTTTTTGAATAAACACTGGAATTTATTTGGATATTTAATATATAAAAATGGAAATAACAAAAAATTAAATTTAAAAAAATTGAGCACAAAAGAAAAATTAGAAATAAAAAAATTTAATTATACCCTTTCTGGAAAAAATCCTGCGGACCCTCATGATATTATTCCTGTTTATATTTCTTTCGCCGTGTGACAAAAATGGGATTTTCGTGCCACCAATGTGTGAAAAAAGTTTCTTAGATTTCCATAATAATTTTTATATCGATATGACAGAATTTTAATTCAAAATGATGGATCTAAAATACCAATGTATATTGATGCAATATTTTTAAATAAATTATTATTTTTATGCGATGTTTTGATCTGTCATTTATAGAATAATCAAATTCAGATATATTTTGACTTAGCGATTTCCATAATTTTTGATATACTCATTTTTGTAACAATTTATTTCCATTTTTTTTTTTAAATTTTGATCCAATATTGAAATTCTGATATTCAGATTCAGCGACCTCAAAAACCATAGCATACCAATAAGTTTCATATACAAATTGCAAAAAGATAAATTGGTTTTTTCAGATGTGCATATATAATATGTATGTATAATATATGCACACATTACACGTCTTTTTTCTGTGCATATGCTACGAAGGGTAGTTAACGATAGGAAAGGAAAGAGAGTTTTGATAAATTAATTTAAAAATCTTAAAAAAATAATAAAAATCGATCGACCGTTCTCTCGATCGAATCTCACGTTTCCTCATATTTTTCGAGTATCTAACAGTTTGTTTTCGCGTTCTCGTTCATTCCGTTTTCCTCTCTCTCTCTCTCTCCTTTGAGGTACCGCCTGGAAATGCGCTCATAGGACGATAGGCGATGAGTAAGTATAGTAGTAAGTGTGGCAGTAGGATGCCGAGGAACCGTTATAACGCCGTCTCGACTCCGGCTATTTTTATTATTATTATTATCATTATCATCGTTGTGCTACACTTTAAGCCCGAGCGTGCTCGAAAACGACGTCTCGGCCTCGCCTCGGCTTCTCGTCCGAGAAAGCACTTTATTTCGCGCGGTGACCTATTAAGAGCGCGCTCCCGCTTGTAGAACTTATTAATCCGTAACAACGTCGCCTCATTAAACATTGATATATCCTTGCGACTATGCTCCAAGATTTTATGCGCAAAAAGATGAGCTAAAAAGTCTGTCAACATGCTGCTCAATAATTTAAAGTCGGTAATTAGGTTCCTTCTAAATTAAAAATTAATTAATATAATTTAAATAATATAGTATAGGCGATTTGATAATAGAAGTTTTCCATTGAAACTTCTTTTCTATGCGATGTGAGTCTCGTAAGATATGGATATATATGTCATGTTTTGTCCCAAATCAAATTAATAATCCTCGAATTCTACGCAGAGAGTATTTTCTCTTAGAATTTATTCAGAAATTCATGATAATTGTGAAATAATATATATAATATTGGAAGAATTTTGTAAGAGGTTCTCTGATTAATATTTACCACAATAAGAAATATTAATATCTACTACAATAAGATATAAAATGTTTGATTAATTTTACTAAAATCTTATGATTCTTCAAGTGTTTTAGTAGAATAGATGCCAAAAAAGTGATAAACATAAAAAATATTTTATATAAATTTTACAATACAGAAAATATATATTTTCAATCCAGCTTAATCGTTTATAATAATTTTAACACACAGTCAGTGTTTACTGTTATCTAAAAAATATAGATGATCATCTAAATAAAGCAGTTTTGACGTCATCTTATCTTGATATATTGTAGTCAATAAAAATATGTAAAACATTATTTTTACTAAACAATCTAGAATAATGTTAAGATAATTTAGAGAGCCATAACACATAAAAATACAGTTAGCAGTAAACGATAAAACTTATGAATAAAAGTATATATTTTTATATCTCTTTTCTAATTCACATTTTTTATAACTATGCTTATATAAGCCATAAGCGATCTTAAAAATAATATTTATTTACAGAAGTTATAGCTAGACGAATCGTCATACATACTTTTACTTTGTATCTAAATATATTTAAAACGAAATCACATCTTTATCTTATCTATAAAATAAATTTTCCTCTTATTTGTAGTGAATTTTGCGGTATAGAATATAGCAGAAAAATTGTCTTCGTGTATATTTGGATGTGCAAATGACGTAAACACGATTTGCATGTACAGAGTCATCGCCGAAGGTCTTCGGTCGATGTCCGTCCTTCGAGGAGCAGAACGTGTGTCCGTCGCGAGCGCCGGCCTGCGAGAATGACTTCCAGTGTCAGAGGAACGCGCCGGAGGAACGGTGCTGCAGGACTGCGTGCGGCTTCCGGTGCGTCGCGGGCCAGCTGACCGGATGCGAGCAACTGGCCCTGGCAGCCGTGAGGCGGTCGCGGGCCGAGGCCCGTCGCAGTTCGTCCCGCGATGCGACAACGTCACCGGCGAGTTCGAGAGGATACAGTGCGAGCCGGAAGGCCAGGTCTGCTGGTGCGTCGACGCGATCGGCGCCGAAATTCCCGGCACCAGGTCCCTCGACAAGGATGCCATCGACTGCGACAAGCCTCGCGTCTGTCCGGCTCACAGCTGTCGCATGCTTTGCCCATTGGGATTCGAGGTATTTCGAGTATTCGCCACATGTCAAACCGTACGCTTATTTACGAGATGTAAATCCGGAAACGTTGTATTTTTATTTCGAGAAATTTTCTTCTCGAGTATTAATGCCCTGCGCGCAATAGAGAAAACATTAGGAGTAAATATTAAATATTTAGGAATAAGAATTGTTTTGAAATAATTAACAAATCGAAAAGAACTCTGATGTAAAATAATATGTTAAATATATTAATTTCTAATATTTTTTCTATTGTGCGCAGAGACTGTTTTTTATATTTATTTGTTTCGAGCAATGGTTTCTGTGTTAATAAATAAAATACCTATAGATAATTAATAATTCTAGATGATATCACTTCTTTACTTTATCTTCAGCTAATTGTTAAAATATATGCTATCCATTTTTATTTTATTAGCAAATAAAACAAATATCTCTTTTACATATTATTTAAAGTAATATTTTGCAAATTTAGACTGCATCACTGTAAATCGAGATATTCGACGTATTTTTCATATGTAAAACTATACATTTTCGAGATTGTATTTCATTGTTGTATTTATTATACATCGTTACTTGTTATGAGCAATGTTTTAGTGTAAATATGTAAGTTGATAGTATTTTAAAATATCTGCTTTACATTACCGAACAACTCCTCTTTTTATAAACAACATATATGTACCAGCTAGAAATCGTCTGTGAAACATTAAAAAATTTTTGTTTTTATAAAACGAAAACTTATAAAAAAAATGGAAGCATGTATTTAAAGTTACATCTTAAATTGTTCTCCTTATAAGTATTCTTATTAAAAAAAAAAAAAAAAAAAACACATTTTTTATATAGAAAAAAAGCCCCTGTCCTATATTCGATCTACTACACTTCAACTATATTTAAAATGAAAAATTCGATTCGTATAGATCAACGAGCATACCGGATGTCCCAAGTGCGAGTGTCGGGATCCATGTCGCGGCGTTACCTGTCCAGGGAGCGGACAGACATGCGAGCTGATCGAGATGAGTTGCGCTCGGCCGCCGTGTCCTCCGCTGCCCAGCTGTCGGAAGGCCAAGTCCCTGTCGACGATCTGTCCGGCTGGTGAGCCGTTGCAGATCACCGATTCGCCGCGGCCGTTCCTCTGCGGTGACACGCCCGGCAAGCCGACCTGTCCGCCGATGTACAGCTGCCTGGTGGAGGCCGGCCAGGAATACGGGGTCTGCTGTCCTTCCAGCGTGAACCTGCAGCGAGCCGGCTCCTGTCCGGCGGAGGACTTGGGCGCTCCTTGCGGCCCCAGCTGCCGCTACGACCTCGAGTGTCCTGGGCCCCAAAAGTGTTGCGGCAGCGAGCGTTGCGGCGGCAACGTCTGCGCGATACCCCGGGGCCTCAGCGTGTGCCATCGCGATCGCATGCTCGCCGAGATGCTCAGCGTCTCCGAGCGCCAGGGTCGCGGTTACGTTCCGCAGTGTACGGAAGGTGAGACGGACGAGCACACCTTATGCATATCTCGCATCGATCGGGAGAAACGATCGAGCATTCGCGTCCATTAACGAGTTCATTGACGATCTGAAACTTTGCCCAAGTAGTTTGTATGACCTCCCTCTTCGACACACGTTGAAGGCTGCATTGGAGGGAAGTTGCATGTACCGTTAATAGAGAGAATTTATGATTCGAAACTTGTTGATTAGTAACTGCGCGAGTTTGTTAACTTCTTTATAATCTTGAGCCTTCATACGCAGAAAACGTATGCATGTTTCTGCTTAGTAGTGTATATAAAAAAATATATATAAACTCTTTATTACGATATAAAATATGAAATAAAAAAATATAAATTTAAAAAAAAATTTTATAGATGGAGGTTTCGAGACGAGGCAGTGCTCAAGGAACGGTCTTGTTTGCTGGTGCGTGGACGACGAGGGTAGAAAGATATCTGGCTCCATGGGTCCCTCCGAGAAGATTGACTGTAGATCGATAAGCAAGGCGCGCTCGCTTCCGGCGTCTTGCACCCCTCAACAGTGCGCTCAGGTTTGCCAGTACGGCTTCAAAACGGATGTCTTCGGTTGCCCGACTTGCGAATGCGACGATCCGTGCGAAGGGTGGGTATCGTTACGGTACAGCGGCGTAGATTAATCTCCTTTACTCGCGAGCAAACCGCAACTAATATTTTCTCTGAAAATATTGGAAAAGCTCTTCTTGCAAAAATCTTAAAGAGAGAATTATTAAATTGTTTTAAAAATTTATTAAGAGAAAACTATACTCCAAAAGGAAAAAGAATGACAGAAAATAAATAAAAAGATGTATTGTCCGAACGATGGAGGATGAATCGATCGCTTAATTAAATTAATATTCTTACAGATTTCCTTGCCCCGAAGGACAAGAATGTACTCTAAAGCGGGAAGACGGCTGTCCAGATTTTCTCTGTCCAACGAAACCGGAATGTAAACCTAGAAAGACCTACAAGAGTCCTTGTCTCTTTGGCACGCCGCTGATCGATCGGGATGGAAATGCCGCGACTTGTTCCGCTAACGAAACTTGTCCCGACGATTACAAGTGCACGGTGGTACCGGAAGCCGGTCAGTCGGTCTGCTGCCTGAAAGCCCCAAGCCTGGCCAAGGCACCTACAAGTAAATATATAGAGTTGTAAATTTGAGAGTTATATAAATATTTAAATATATTATAATTGAAAAATCTCATCGAGAATAACTTACCTTTTTTGTTAAATTTTCCTTTAAATTTTTTTTACGAAAAAAATGTTTCTTTTTCACCCGAAAATTTAGTGTGCGAGTATCTGCGAGATTTCAACGATCGCATGGAGGGTACAAGGGAAGGAATGTCTCTGGCGATTCCGGCGCCTCAGTGCGAGAAGGATGGCAGCTTCAAATCTCTACAATGTCGCAACAGCACGGATTGCAACTGCGTAAACCATCGCGGGGTGATCCTGAAGACCGGAGTGGACTCCACCGCCTTGGCCGATTGTAACGCCATCAAAGAGCTCACGCGAATCTGCAAGCACCTCTATTGCAACCTGATCTGTCCGTACGGCTACGAGGTGGACGCGGCCGGTTGCGAGCAATGTCGTTGCCACGAGCCCTGCCGCGACGTCGTTTGCGAGCCGCAAGAGACCTGCACGATGATCGACGTGAATTGCGGTCCGGATCAGTACTGTCCAGCGGTACCAGCCTGCTTGACGACCAAGCCGGGACAGTGCCCGTACCTCGTGCCGAGCTCGTCGAGCTGCGAGCTGCAGTGCAGCAATGATCAGGAGTGCTCGTCCGGAGACAAGTGTTGCTCGACCGGCTGCGGCACGCAGTGCGTAGCCCCTGTCATGGCCACGGCCTGTCAGCACGCCCGCGCGGTCGCCGAACACGCCGCCAGGGAATCGGGCGAGCCCGCTAGGAGGATCTACATACCCAGATGCGACACAAACGGCGCATTCGAGCCGTTTCAGTGTCACAATGGCGTGTGCTGGTGCGTGGACCAGGAGGGCAAGGAAACAGCGGGCACCAGAGTTCTCGAAGGAACCAAGCCGGGATGCGATACGCCTTCTAGATGCCCGGATATCGACTGCAAGCTCGATTGTCCGGACGGCTTTGAACTGGACGCGGACACCGGCTGTCCGACGTGCTCGTGCCGCGATCCGTGTCGCAGCGTGACATGTCGCGGCGAGAACGAGGCGTGCAGAATGGTCGAGGTAGCGTGTAGCGCGCCGCCGTGTCCTCCCGTGCCCGTTTGCCTGCCGAAGAAGGATAATCCGTGCCCGAACGGTTCGCCGTTACTCGAGCTGAACGGCTCGATCGCTACTTGCGGCCCTCACGGTCACCATTGTCCGACGACGCACAAGTGCGAGCTATCGCCCCTGGATGAGTATGCGGTATGTTGTCCGAAACCGCGGGAGGTGTGCTTTGAACCATCCAGGCGAGTACCGTGCAACCCGAGCGCAGGCTTCAACGAAACCGAGAGGTGGTTCTTCGATCCTGAACGTAACGAGTGTCGACAAAAGCACGAGTGCACTTTGGGCCACAACGACTTCTCCAGCAAGCTGGTATGCGACACCGTGTGTCCCGTGTTATCGCAATGCGAGAGGCTGCGCGAAAAGAACCTGAAGAGGTCTCAGAGGCTGAAGCAACCCACGTTCTTGCCCAAGTGCAATCCCGACAGCGGTACGTGGGAACCGGTGCAATGTTTGGAGCACGTCGGTGTCTGCTGGTGCGTCAATCGTAAGGGTCAGCCGATCAAGGGTTCGCTCATCAGGGGCGCCGAGCCAAAATGTAATTTCCGGCAAGCCAGACGAGGCGGTAGAGGACCGCAGGAAGTAGATCGTGAGATTCAGGCAATCATGGAGAACACTTTGCTGGACTTGGAGATGGACGAGCGGCGAGCGGGAAAGATGCTCGGGACGAGGTGTCAGGCGATGAAAGACAAGAATCACGTGCCGATAATATGCGATCCGCAGGGTAGATTCGAGCCCACTCAATGCGCCGGTGATACTTGCTGGTGCGTCGACGAAGCTGGTAATCAGCTGATCGGCTCCGAGCCGTTTTTCAAGGGAACAAGCATTTGCCGTAAGTATAGAAAAGAGATCTCTTTTTACTTTTTCAATTAAAATATTTAAATTTCAATTAAAATTTTATCGTTACAAATATCCTCTTATAATAAAAATTTCCTCTTAAAAATATAAATATAAATATAGAATATATAGAGATAGCTAGAATAAAATATGGAGTTTATACATGTATATAAAAATTGTTGAACTATATATATATTATATATAATTGTAATTATTATATATTAATTATAAATAATTTTAGTGCCCACGCCGGTCGAGGCCGTCGAGGTGACGTTGCGTTTCCCCGGTCGATTCCTCGCCGCAGATGAGGCACGATTCGCCGAAAAGGCCGAGGACTTTCTACACGAGCTCGGCGCAATACTTCGGAAAGGCGTGCGAGTGGACATCAATCAAGATTCGGCGATGCTGAGTTTCGAGATTGTCGGCGCGAATAAGGTAGACGTGGCGTTTCATCTGGAGGAACTCACGCGGATCCAGCAGCTATCTATGCTGGGTTCTTCCGCGGACGCGACGACCTCGCGCTTCATGCATCGCTCCACTCCCGTGGCGATGCAGAGTCGGATCGTTGCGTTGGAGCAACGCGAGATTCTCACGCAAGTGGAAACGCCGGTCTATCAAACGGCCACGCTCGTGCTTGCGGCAGGAAGCGCCTTCATTATTAGCAGCCTCGTTATTCTGCTGATGCTCTATCGTAAAAAGGTACTTATCGCGATATCTTAGGGGTCTGTTCTTTTCAGCTGCACTAGTTTAGAGTTTATCTCTTTTTTTTTCCTACGTGAAGTAAAAGGAAGAAACTCAATCTAATCTGGTGCAGCTACTTTAGCTGAGAAGAACAGACCTCTTGGTTGTGAGATTTTATCGAGATTGTTTATATTGGATTTATAATACATTTATATATAGCGGTAAATGTGATAATTCTAATCTCATTTTCTTTAATGGAACTAGGCTGAATATTTAGCGTTTGCGGAAATAATCTTTAAAACATCAGCTCGTTGTTGAATCAAAGCAATTGGTTTGCAGATGAAAATGAAGGATTCCACAAAGATGCTTCCCGTGGACCAACATTTTCTCGCTTACAGCCAGCAACCGGTCTACGTAATATCCGGGACGGAGCAGGAGAAGGAGAAGGAAGCTGCGGCGCAGCAGATGCTGAAAGATATTCATACGTCGGATACCATTGTTGAAGCATAAAGCGATTTGATGCTCTTTTCACGTGGGTCATTTCCGCCTTGTGCGATAGTGATTCTAAAATTTCTGTCTTTGAAAAGTTTAAAAAAAAAGATTCAGATTTAGAGGAAGTGTAACATACATGGGTGCAGGGTTGTCAATCTCTAAATCCTTCGAAGCACGCGCGTTGATTTGACTTTTCGAAGTCGCGCGATAATCACATTTTTATTTTTAATCAACCAGTTAATCAACCTCATCATTGAGTCTCCCTCTGTCTCTGTCAAACTTTCTATGTAATCGAATATCAAATAAAATATGCAATCATATACGCATATTGACTTAACACACAAATATATTACAGGATTAGGACATAAATTGTTTTTTTTTTATTGATTATAATAATATGGAGAAAGAGAATATGACATAGACTATAGACAGAGACTCGAGAATTAATTATGAGACGCGAATCACTGTCGTACACGGTATAATACGTAGTCAAAGCCGCGTCATGTATATTCCACTGTCATTTTTGTGCTATAATTTATTGTCCACACGAGATTATAATACAGTCTATAGATTCGACGATCGACCGAATAAGGCATATGTTATTTTCAGAAATTGCATACTAATCTATTATTAATTACACTGTAAAAAAAATATGTAATATATTACAGAAAAATATGTAAAATTACATAGATAATTCAATGTAATATTACACGATAAATGACGAAAATGCATAATTTCATTATTTATATTGTAACTTTATATACTTATTATTTGTACGTTGCTTATTATTTCGACGATTCTGGTATAAAGTGGCTTTGTTAGAATTATCGTTATCACTTATCTAAAGTAAGATACGTAAGATACATATTTTAGAAATCAAAAGCATTTATTTGCAAACAATGAGTTTGCCGATAGACGATAAATATTTGCGAGTCGATCGTCGAGAAACTAGACTGTGTTTTTAGGAATCATTTCATCATTCTCGCCAGTTTGTCTTCATCGTCCCTTCGATGTGGGAATCACTAACGTAAGGATGTCCCGGCTAACAATTAAATCATGAAAACTAGGATGTCGTTGCGTTATTAATACGTCGCGCGGATGTAAATATTAGATTTATATTGTGTTCGATTATTTATATAGACGAATAAAGATCGAAACTCTCTCCTGTTTTTCAAGAACAAGATTGTTCTTCTCCACAAAAACCTATATAAATTCTCATTTAGAACTTTACTATATTAATAAAGTAGATAAAATTGAGAATGATACCGTTTCCCTTCCTCTTCATAAAAAAATACTTTATTAGAAATGTACAATCTCCGTAAACGTTTTTGGCATTTTGCAATCTTTGAAATATATAGAGAAAATGTCATAAAATTATAAATAAAATGAATAAAAATTTCCACAAGCATATTGATCCGAAATCAAATTAATGCGTTGTATATATGTATGTTTATTAATTTGTATTGCATTTGATAGCGTCTAAAATAATTATTTTCTTTTTACAAGACAACAGTATGAAATTCAAATTTCGCGCGACATTATTTTGCAAATTCAGCTCGATGACATCATATCCAATTCACAAGCTCGCAATGCGCGTGCGCGTAGGATTTCCAATTTTAATGAATTTTATCTCATTTTAATCGCGCTTTGTGGCGTCTCGTAGATTTCAAACGTCTAATTTAAAATATAAATAAAATTGTGCAATATTTGGAGAAAGAGGAAAAGGGAGCGAAGCGAAGCGGCCGAAAGTCGATATAATCCGCTGTACATATTTCTATATATTAATTTATTGTATTGTATTCGATCCCGTCTACAATTATTTTCTTTTTACAAGACAACAGTATAAAATTCAAACTTCGCGCGACATTATTTTGCAAATTCAGCTCGATGACATCATGTCCAATTCACAAGCTCGCAATGCGCGTGCGCGTAGAATTTCCAATTCGAACGAACTTTATCTTATTCTAATCGCGCTTTCTCGTAGGATTTCAAACGTCTAATTTAAAAATGTCAAGCAAAAGTGAAACGTTAAAATTTTAAAAAAGAAGAAAAAGGACCGAGAACGCGAAGCGAAGCGGCGCGGCCGAAAATCGAACGGACGCGCGAATCGAAAGAGCGGCGTAAACGGCGGAGGAGCCGAGTCGCGACGGAGACGGCCGAGGGCGCCCGAGTCGCGGTCGACGTCGATCGGGCCGAGTCGTCGTTTGCGCGAGTGCGAACGACCAATCGAGCGGTTCTCGAACGGGTCGCCTTGCCGTTCGGGTTGGTCGGGGCAGTCTAGTACAAGAAGAAGGATCCTTCGAGTCGTCGGGGTGACGTTCTCGAAAAAGGGAGAGCCAGAAGAGAAAGGGCTACATGGCTACGTCTCGGTTGTCTCGCGATCGCTGATCCGGGAGCGACTCGAGGGTTGTGCGCGCGTCGCCGAGGGAAGGAGTTTCCGCGTCATCGTCTCGAGAACCGCCGTCGCCGTCGAGAAGAAATCTAACGTAGACGACGGAGGAAGCGCGAGGGAAGCCTGTGATGGGTGTCAGGAGGACAGCGAGGGGACGGGGGCAGGCTTCGTACTCGCGCCTCGCGGTCGTCGTCGCATCGTCGAGATCATCGAGATCCGTGCGCTGTCATCCCGCGGTCCTCGCGTCGCGCTCAGCACCGAAATCGGCATCGGCGCGCTGGTTCCTGTTATGCGCGCACGTCGAACGTCAGTCGGAGTGTTTATAACTGCACGGCGTTCTCGTCGGTGCTCGTGGCGGAGGGTGCAGGAGCAGGAAAGGGCGGCGAGGAGGAGAAAGAGGTGAAGACGAGACGGCCAGAAGCCGTCGAGAGGGGGCGAGCGAGAGAGAGAGAGAGAGACGTTCTTCGTCCGAAGACAGAGAGACAATTCCAGACTTCCCTCCTTGTTCTATCCGGATAATCTGTTCGCATCGAAGTGTCATCGGGCTCGCTCGCAGTGACAGTTCGTCGCTGGATATAGAGGGAGAAAGAGGGAGACGTATTTTCCGTGGCCTGTCATACTTGGTCATCGCGACAGACTCTCTCCACGATGTTCACGGGGACGATCAAGATCGAGATCTGCGAGGCGATAGGGCTCCGCGCGACCGACAGGCAGCGCAAGTTCTGGCAGGACGAACCTATACTCGACCCGTACGTGCAGATGGACGTCGACGAGAATCACCTGGACCGCTCGTCCACGAAACCCAAGACGTTCAATCCGATCTGGAACGAGAGTTTCACATACGAGGTGCAGGATGCGGTCACGCTGGGCCTCACCGTCTTCCACGACGCGGCACTGCCGCCAGATTACTTCGTTGCCAATTGCAGCATCCCCTTCGAGGAGCTCGTCACCCGTAATGGCAAAACCACCGACTTCTGGGTTAGTTTGCCAGTCGACTTCCTTTCATCCTTCGCTGCGTTTCAATCAGGGGGTTCATAAACATAAATTGCTATCGCAATGTTTTTTTCATTCCTCTTGATTTCATGTAATTCATCAAACGAATTAGTATTGCAAGTCGATATGCCTTGAACATTATGAATATTAAGTCAGAAAAATCAGATCAACTTACGATTAATGTTTAAACTTAATTTTGTGTTTTTTGCTTTATATTTTAGATTAATTATTTCTCTCTTCTTCTCTCTTTTTTTTTGAATAATGTTACCAGATACTTTTTTTTATATGCTCTGAAAGAAAGCACTTATATTTTTAAACACGATACGTTAAGTATATAAGGCTTTTAATTATAGAGCGCACTATTAATTAATTTTTTTATCATGTTACACTGATGCATGGTGACAAGTTTTATAATGAAAAATTTCATATGTTTCACAGTAAATATTGTATAGTTAAATAGTTTGTCGCTTCACATATTTTATTATTAATATATCGATACATTCTATTCTTTTAAATTTGATAATTGATGGTAATATGAGTAAACATTTGCAGATTGATCTGGAACCTCAGGGAAAACTGAGAGTGAAGATAGACTTGCAATGGAATGATCAGGGTAAGAGAAAGATATCAACATCTGATAAATATAGTGTGTACGATATAACATATTTCAACTTATTACTAATATTTTAGATCGACAATCGAGTTGCGGTACGGGAGGCGATGCAGAAAGTATCAGTGGTAGAAGCATCGGCAGCGTCAACTCCAGCAAGGAATTGATGCCGCGCCGAGAATTTAAGGAGAGACAGGGCTTCTATCGTCGGAGGGGCGCGATGCGACGAAGGATTCATCAAGTGAACGGGCACAAATTCATGGCTACCTTTTTGAGGCAACCGACATTCTGTTCGCACTGCCGTGAATTCATATGGTATGTATGCTTATATGCCTACACTTGCTTCTCGTTGCTTTTCAAGATTTTACCCGCAAGTACTTCTCTCGATACAATCTTCGAAAGCCGAGTGCGTACTATTACGAGATATAATTGGGAAATAGGAGCATGCTTCCAGTGGTGGTATATTTCATTTGTAGTTACAGCTACAAGGAATATATTTGTAGCGGTTGTCAAAATTGATTAGTAATGCACATGAGATATATTGATCGATTACACCAAAGCAGGATTTACTTGGCCTTTTCTTGTAATCTAATTTAATAATAACAAGAGGAGATATATATTTATGAATTTGTATACAATGGTTAACGATGATTGCACAAGAAATATTAACTTATTATGAAAAATTATTTTAAAACACCTTTGACAAACACATACACAAATGTAGATGATAAAAGCAGAGCTTGGTATCGCTACAGTCAGGATGTATATATATTTGGAAGAAATTTCTTCCTTTTAGATAGATTGCATGCTTGGGTTTTACAAGTGCACATGCCTTATAATATAATCTGTCAAGTCCATTTAAAGATATCGAGGTGTTGGCGCATTCGTACATGAGCTGTTTCAATTGGCAATACTTTTAATAAACAGCAATTAGTCTGTAAAATTTGGCAAGATACATATCAACAATATGATATTACATTCGATATTATATCATTCTTTTTTTTTTTTTTTTTTTTTTTTCAATCAATCGCACAAGTCCTTATCAAGAGTCTAGAGTAAATGATGACTAAGTACGGTTAAAGGAGGCAAACGTATGTGTCTTAGAAGGGGTATCACAAAGATACGATGTGACGTGTTTTGTCTGTTGTATTTCAGGGGCTTGGGCAAGCAGGGCTATCAGTGTCAAGGTGAGAAGACACATACACTGTTATTAACAGATTATAATTACGTATCTGCTTGTGCCGCACTCTTATGTATGAATGTAGAGTAATTAGAAGTATGTGTTGCGATTAGTTTTACAATGAAAAAAATTACAACAACTTTATTGATTAATTTTAGTACAGCTTTTACATACTTTAACGTTTTATTTTTACAAGCAGCGCCTTACAATCGCCACCTTTGTGCACTTTTAGTTCACTGCCAACGTATACTTTTGATCTCGCCTTGGGATTAATTTGCTTTATGATAAAGTTTTCACAATTCACTCGTTGATTATTAACCATATAAAGATTTTGACGCTGATTCTTAATGTAATGACTAATAACTACACAAGGTTGCTTCTGTGAATTATTTTATTTGCTATCGATTATTTGCTATGATATAAATTTGTGACCAATTAGGAGGAACTTTAGTTGATTGCATGTTGCTCTTTGATAAAAATTGCCAGATTATTCACGCTGTTTTAGAGCTCTCTAACTCATTTTCGATACTGCAGCTTTTGCCCATTCCCTATCGAGGTAATATTAGATATATTATGATTTATTTCTACGCTTACAATATAATTATAAATAATTTTTAGATGCGTTTAATCACGCATGTAACCAGCTTTGGACGTGCAATATTTAGCGTTATATTTCGAAGATTAATATTTCTATAAGGAGACATTTGTTGTAAATACTGTTTCAGTATGCACTTGCGTAGTTCACAAGAGATGTCACAAATTGGTGATAACCAAATGTCCAGGAATGAAAGATGAGGTAGGTCCATCTGTATTCTTTAAAATAATGTGACATAAGATAAAACGATATATTATCAACAATTTTTTGTGCATCAATATGTTTGAGACCTTTGTACATTATATTTATATTTATACATTCATGCTTTTCAATTAGTTACTTATTGATGTGTAATTTTAACTTTTTATTGATATATAACTATAATTTTAATAGAGATAAATATTTATTATATGTATATATAAGGTCTTTTTATGTCACAAATATAAATAATTTTATTATATTAAATTCTATCAATTTGTTACTTTTATTCTATTGATTTGTCATTTCTGTTTCTTTTTTTGTTTTTCGAATTATTCACTCAGGGTAAAGGAACTGGATTACAGTCGAATCAAGACACAGAGAGCACGCGCTTCAGCATAGACGTACCACATCGCTTTGTTGTTCATAATTACAAGAGATTTACATTTTGCGACCACTGCGGATCCCTGTTGTACGGTTTATTCAAACAAGGTTTACAATGCGAAGGTAAGTGGAATTTATATTAAAAAAAAATTCTCTTTAAAAAGGATAAAAAAGTATACATTAAACTTATCATATTTCTTTTTTGCGTTACAGCTTGTAACATGAACGTTCATAAACGATGTCAGAAGAATGTACCAAACAGTTGCGGTATCAATACCAAAGTTATGGCCGATATTCTGAAAACAATGAACATTTCCGCGGACAAGCAAGTCAAAACTCCGAAAATCAATTACAGAGAATCCGCGTGTCCGTCAACACCCACAGTTAGGGACGATATGTCGGACTTACAAGCGAAAGGAGCGGAAACACCAATTAATGCCAATGAAAACGCAGTGCCTGTTAACGGCAGTGAACAAAGAAAATTCGGAATAGACGATTTTAATTTTATCAAGGTCCTCGGTAAAGGCAGTTTTGGTAAAGTAATGTTAGTGGAACGAAAGGCTAATCCCGACGAGATTTACGCCGTGAAAATCTTGAGCAAAAACATCATTATACAAGACGACGATGTGGATTGCACAATGACGGAGAAGAGAATCTTGGCTCTAGCGGCAAAGCATCCTTTTTTAACGGCCATCCATAGTTGCTTCCAAACGACTGATCGACTTTTCTTCGTTATGGAATACGTGAATGGAGGTACGCGCACATTTTGCGAATAAAATATACGATAAATCACATTTTTTCTTTTACTCGCTAATATCGTATTTTTTTCGCTCTATTTCAGGTGATCTCATGTTCCATATTCAGAAAGCTCGAAAGTTTGACGAAGCGAGGGCGCGCTTCTACGCGGCGGAAGTGACACTCGCCCTTCAGTTCCTGCACAAAAATCACGTTATATACCGCGATTTAAAACTGGATAATATATTGCTAGATTCGGAGGGACATTGTAAATTGGCAGACTTCGGAATGTGTAAAGAGAATATAATTGAAGGACAAACGACCACATCGACATTTTGCGGCACGCCGGATTATATAGCTCCCGAGATACTACAGGAACTGCAGTACGGTGCCAGCGTCGATTGGTGGGCTCTCGGCGTTTTGATGTACGAGATGATGGCTGGACAGCCGCCTTTTGAAGCCGATAACGAGGACGAGCTCTTCGAATCGATCTTACGAGACGATGTACTTTATCCGATATGGATTTCCAAGGAAGCCGTGTCTATTTTGAAAGGTTTTATGACTAAAAATCCTGCCAAGCGATTAGGTTGTGTCGTAGCCAATGGCGGTGAAAATGCCATAAAGGTCCATCCATTTTTCCAACACATGGATTGGGAAGCGCTTGAAGCGCGCAGAGTGAAACCACCGATTAGACCTAAAATTGTGAGTTCTATTTTAATATTTCATCTCTTTTTATATTCGATAAACAATAATGCGACAATTGTTTCTACATGACGCGTTGAATGTTTCAGAAAAATGAGAAGGACGCTATGAACTTCGATACGGAATTTACAAAGGAGGATCCCGTATTGTCGCCGGAAGACATGGACGAAGTGAGCTACATCAATCAAGAGGAGTTTCGCGGTTTCTCCATGGTCAACAAGGATTTCAATCCAGCCAGGTTTGCAGCGCAATAAGAGATGATAAATCACTGTGGAGGATATGGAAAACCGAAAAATTAATATCGTCCTAATACTTCCCGCTTAATAAGGTGGCGAATGCGCTAAACAACGCAAAGTTGGATATCGGCGTCGTTTTGAAGCTGCTCGAGGTCTCCTTTGGCCAATTACGTCGATGGAGATGATACGTCTGTCCACCGCGAGGATGGAAGTATTCGACTAATTGAGGCACAATTGGCGGCGATCCGAAAAACTAAGAATTCGGAAATGTTTAGCCAAGCCATCGGGAGAATACCGGAATTTCGTTTTCTTGAGAATTTGCGTTTTCGTGGAGATATTTTTTAGCCGTTGCAGGGACGCGACTGATTGATTCGGCATGAAAGGCGCATTTTATTAGGGCATATTGTACGAGATTGGCAGAGATTGCAAATTTTTTACTATCATTTTTGCGAGGAGCGCTAGAGTCGGTATTGCCGGAAGTAGAGACAGTAATCGAGAGAGTTTTATGTACGATGTCCTGTATTAGAACAGGAATTGCTGGGAAACGCAATTGCCGTTCATTTTTAACGCGATACAAATGAAAGAAAAGATGTAGGCTCTCGTACAAAATGGTATGAACGATCGCTGGGCGATCAACGATTCACTTTGTGAAGTGATATATATACCTAAATTATATATTTAATGTTATTAGAAACGCGCAATGGGATTCCAATTTCGTATAGATTTATATAAGATAGGCGATTGAACAAATTTGGAATACCGGTCTTTGCCGGCTTTTCTAATCTTTTTGGTTTTTATTTTTTATTTTTTATTTTTTTTTTATTTTTTTTTTTTTTTTTTTTTTAGTAGAACATTTTTTTTATTTTGTCGATTTTGACACGATTGTGCATATAAAGTTTTACTTTCGTTGTTTTTTTTTTAAATATTATAAACTCGTAATTGGGTTTTGATCTGACGACATTTAATATTGCGTTAAATAGATGTGTAAATCGAATTTATACTTACACATAACGGCTTGGCACTTAAAACGTATTTTCTTGTTTCAAAAAATCTCTGTTATGAGAAAATAACATATACGAAAAAAGTGAATAATGTCCATGGAAAAAATTTTAAATTTAACTGAATATTGCTTAAAAAATAAGTCGAGTTTAGTTCTTTAACAAAAACGTAGAATTTTTGACGGATTCGCGCTACGACGAAGACTGAACGTAAGCTGGGCTTAAGTTTTAAGTAATTCCAACATTTATAAATGACGAGTTTATGTGTATAAGAATCTGTGCGTTAGGATAGATAAAAGCAGCGTAGAGAGAGAATCGAAACATCGGTTCTCGTTTCGTCTGGCTGTTGTCCAGCGCCGGTCGAACGAGGTCGAAAGTTTTCGTCGAGCTTTACACATATACACGTACATATATATACACACACACACACACACACACACACAAATACACACAGAGGAGCATCTCGCAGCGCTTCTCCGATAGGATTTAGATAAAAAAAAATATATATATAACAATCGCGCTCGCGTGATAGAGATCGAGCAGGATACGATCTAAATCGGGCGGGCGCGCGTCATTTCATACTTAAGTAGACTTGAGCGCGATCATTATAGATTGAAAGAGAGTCCACTGGTGGTCTCCAATCAAAGTACATAAAAATATAGATTATATCCATATGTATATGCATGTGCTTCTATATATATGCGTACAGGGACACATGCACATATATATAAATCTAATTTATTTTAGTAAGGCACGGAGACAAGCGAGAGGGGGGCGATCGTAACACTCTAAAAGAAAGCAGAAAGGAACAAACTCTCGCGGCGAGCATAATATATATATATATATATATATATATATATATATATATATATATATAAATTTGCACTTGCGATTCTCGGCGCCTCTTACGATTTTTAAAAGGCGCGTGAGGTGCATATATATATTACCAGTATATAGCCATCGATATAATACACACACATTAGAAAGAAGGAAAGAAAAAGAGAGAATGTATATTATATAGAAAAGAGAGAATGTATATCATAGAGAAAAATATCAAATTTACCAAAATGCCGAGCAAAGAAGCAGCAAGTCCAACTAGCGATTTTGATGCACCTTCCGCGATCCTTAAATGTGTTGTCTCTAAGTAGGTATCTTTGAACACAGGCTTGAAACTCGTGTACTTAATCTACATAGTAAGCTGAAAGCTCTTTAGATACAAGAGTGGGTAATAGTAATATTTTGTTAGTGACTTTTAAGCACGTGGCACGTTGACGTTGTAGTTGCGTATTAGTAAACATCTCCCTCGTTTTCTCGGGTCGGCGTAATTTCGCCCGCCAGGGATGGCGAGGACAGGGAGGAGTGAACACGCGAGAGGTGCATAAAATATATTCAGTGTGCGTCGAAGTGTGCATCGTTCAGTTCGCGCCAAAGATTCTAATCTCGCGCGTTATCCAACGTGTACGCCGCGAGAAGTTTTTTCCAGCGAACCGAACAAATTGTCAAAGCCCCACTTTTCGAATACCATACGGTCTTGGATCTTTGGCGCGAATGCGAGAAAGTTGCCATTCTGATGATTCTAATAACGCATAGAGATAGAACGATAGAGGTATAGCGATAAGTTGTAAACAAAACAAAAAAACAGAAACTTTAGTGTTTAAACGTAGTAATTGTGAAGCGAGAGAATTCGACATGCAGCGTCAAAATCGTGCGAATTATTTATTAGCGGGAATCTCTTTGGCGCGTGCCTCCGTCGACGAGCTGCTTTGGGCAACAATTCTCTCAAAGCTCCGGGTTTTGTAGCCTCCTCATCCTCCAATTGATAGGAGTAACGCGGCTCGTCGACGACGACGCGTGTCGACTCGGTGTCGTGATATATCGTCGTTGTTGTGTAAACGTACATTTTTATGTCCTTCCTAGATCTTAGACCCGCGAATAAGAAAAAGAGCACCCACGTTGAAGGGATGGAAGGACTGTCCTCGTTTCCCGGACACCGTGCGAACTTGCGTAATTGCCGACGCGCGTTTCGAGCCTGTGCAGGACTCGAAGTGCGGGATTCTTGCGCATCTCGTTCAAGGACAATCGGGAGGTGTCCGGGAAAAGGGGTGTCCGTGACCATATACGTCGTTGCACGATTTTTAGATCCTATAAGACGTAAGACGTGCACGTTGCCGGTACACAAACGCGAAGAGCAACATGTATGTATAATATATAATTAAGGTGCAAAACACATAATGCTCGTCGCTTCCGCGCGTCATCATCATTGTCATCATTATTGTCACGATAATCATTATCATCATCATCATCATCATCATCATCATTATCATCAACAATGGTCGCATCGGGGCGAACGTTGTGGCCGATCGTTCCAACAGCTTTCGCTTGTACAGCAATAATTATTGACCAGGAAATTATAGTGTTCTAAGCGTAACAAGGGTATTGACTGTCCGATCGAGACCGTGTCGATACTTTTATTTTTTTTTCCATGTGTACATCTTCGCGTGTATATTGATTCACAATAGAAGCGCGCTACGTCGTCGTCCTCAGCACCTTGAGGCTCGACGACGTAATCGAAAATTTATTAATTAGCGTTACTCGTCCGCTTATGTCTGTCGGCGTTTTTTTTTTCGTCCCGTGAAACTTATATCTACTTATCTATTTTATTCGGCCCGTCGACGCGATAGAAAAAACCGTCTCGATGTAAAGGTACCTGATGAGGGCGCAAGACGATCCATGATCGTTGATCTCTAATCATGTTTGACCACGTCGCGAATGTAGAGAGATGTGGCGAGCGTTATCGGAACAATTATCGATTAAAAAAAACTCTCGCTTTGAAGAGTATCTACGCTAAGAGAGAATGTTGCTGGTGATTGAGGACTCGAGAGAGAGAGAGAGAAATAGCTCGCTCGAAGCTTCGTCGACGTATGTGCATTTACTATAAATCTAGTCAAAACGGAGATTTACGGAATAAGTCAGCTTTTTTGAAGATTCAAGTTAACGAGGAGGATGAATCAAATTCCAGAGAAAGGAAGAAGGAGCGAGTGAGAAAGAAAGAGACGGGTTAGTCCGGCCTACGCTTTAAAAAAAGAGAAAAAAAACATTTAAGACGGTCTCGTGCGTTATTTCGAAAGAAAATTACAGCTATATCGTGTACCTATGTATTGTTACTAGTGTCTAGGATTATGATGTGTATGTGTATTAAATCCGTAAAAAAAGCTGATATCTTGCGGGCGGAGACGACTCTTCTCTCCTTGAACTTAGATATATCGAGTGCAAATCGAATGTGTATTTGTATTTTTTTTGTGCCGCGCCGCGTCTCATTAATTATATTATTTTATTTATTATCGCAGTTTAAATACATGGCGCTTGTATTTATATATATTATACGTAATCTCGATGACCGCTGAACGGAGATTTCTCTACGAAAGAACAATTGCCGTCCTCAGCACATCGATTCGACAAAAAAAAAACCGACGTGACGTCAAAAATTCTCTTCGGATCTCAGTGAATCTTGTGATAAACTCGAGAACACCTCGAATATAAATCGAATGTTGTTGCCCGTATGAACGATTTCTAAAGTTCATGTTAGACGGTATCTCCTAACTTGTCTTCGACGGCCATCGAGAGAACGGATTTACATCATGGTTTATTTCTTTTATCAGGTTTTGCTAATTTTTATTCCTTCGCGGCGTCACGTTCTTCCATTAATTTTCGCGACAAAATGGATTAAGCGTTTTAATTTACACAGTAGTATTATACTCTTCCCCAAAGTTGCTCGCGTGAATTTTTATTGGGACATTATCGAAATGTTCGCTCGTTACGACTAAGTCGACAAACTCTTTGTTAAACGCATCAAATTAATTACTCTTCCATTACGATGAATCGAATTACGTATTTTTATTTGTACGTTTGTATACAAAGTCAGCTTGGTTTAATTAATGTATGAATGTATTTCTACACGAATCGATAAACTCGTCGTTAAGATTTTTACATATTAATTGATGGGAATTTGTGTGCATTTTATAGCACTTCATTTTTATAGATTTTTTTTTTTTAATTAATGCAGTTGTACTTTCGAGGAAGAAAATTATCGTTAAAGTATTATTTATTTGGCTTGATATATATCATTTCGACGATAGTGTTCCACCTCGATTCTCCTCGATCTAGTGTCTGTCGTGAGATTTTTTTGTAACGACTAGTCAATCCTTTAATGCACAAAGAACTGTTGTTATGCAGGTCATCGCTATTTTACTGCATCGTCTGCCTGCATCTACCTGCGTTATATTCTATTTAGAGAATACAGAGAACTTGTATTACATTTGTTGGAGAGACTGAGTGTGCTTGAGAGTAAAAAGATATATATCTTCGGAACGAAAAATTCGACAAGGCAGGGTGCAAATGCGTGGATTTGATGTTAATGTGTAAGTTGATGTACGCCTATATATATATATATATATATATATATATATATATGAATATGTATATGTATATATAAAGGCGCGCATCAACAAAAATGATATAAATTATAATGTAAGAAAAAAAATAAGAGAATTAACATTGTTGCAATATAGAGTAATTAAGTGAGTAATTAGGGTCTCTTGTGACTATCGACGATGGTACCTTTTTCCTTTCTAGGAGATATATAATTTATAAGGATATATGTATATGTTACATAACGCATAACGCGCATTGTGTCCTTTTCGTTTCTTCAGACCTGCGTTAAAGTCCCCAAGTTTGATTTCAGTTCAACGATCTTGGTATCATTGCTTTCTGAGAGGATCAGGAGGAGAGAGAGGGAGAGGATCTCGAAGATATTAAGAATAAGATAGGATAAAAAAAGGGACCAATGTCGCTGAAACCGAATGAGAATATCCTGGATTTTATCCTGGGTCTGAGAAATGAGAAGAACGTCGCGCGCGTGTGTGTGTGTATATATGTATATATATATATATATATATATATATATATATATATATATATATATATATATACATATACATATACATACACACACACATACACCAGAACTCCGTATATCGTCTTATGCCTGTGTGCACGATGTGTTGGATAAAAAAACATTCTAAAAAAAAGAAAAATGGGAAAAAAAGAAAAAAAGAAACGCTTCTCGGGTAAAAGAGTCTGCGTTAATAATCAGCACCGGGGTTCCACTTTTGGTAATGTTAGGCTCGACGATCACGCCGTGTACTTTGTAATAATGTAAAAATTGAGAAAAATCACTTGTGCCGGGCTTAGAAAGAAAAAAAGAATCATAATTACGAGAGTGTAATTTGCAAGCGTTATTACAACTCTTTGTTCGTGAACCGAAACGAACGAGCGGCTTTCGTGGCATTAATTTCGTTCATTCTGGAATCTGTTGCCCGAAAATTAAATTACACGTTACACTACACATACACACGCATACACACGATATCATGGTACGTTTGTAAACCGGAAATGCAAAACTCAATGTACGAATGCCAATATTTTATTATTCACACTTTTGCACTTTCCGTTTTTTTCTTTTCTTATAATCTGCAAATTAGTATTTTGCTTTTATTTTTGTGCAACTGTAATAATTTTTCGCGTTTCTTTTTCCTTACGTAGATTTTATATCTTCAATTTTCTAAAAAAAATTTTTCTTCGGGCACAATATATTGCATAATTTTGCGTTTTCGATCTACATTTAATTAGAATTAGATTTATTAAAAATAAAAATCGGATTATTTGTGTCTCTATGTTACTTAATATAAAGCTTAACTGAATGTACCTTGCGATTTCTTAAAATATCTCGCAAATTATATCAATGCACAATTTAACGTTCAACCAAAAAACGTACACCTTCCTCCGATAACACAAAATGGATAAAAAAAAAAGAGAGAAATCGAGGAAAACAGCCGTCCGCAATAATCGAAAAATATAGAAACAGACGGGTAAAAAATTGAGCGAAACACTCTGAAGAAATAAAGATGATCGCTGCATTATATA